GTCCTTTTAGGCTTCAGGATCTGGCTTGATCAGGGTGTGGAATTCAGCTGTAAGCCTTTGGCTTTAAAATGCCATGTTGCTTTACTTATTACAAACGCTTACGGTGTCTTGTATATCCTAAATAGTTTTAAATAGCTTCTTACTGGAAACCACCTGAACGGACAGAGCTTGATAAATGGCAAGACAAAGACCTTCTAAATCTACTGAACCGACAGCAGGCAACTCTCCAAAGGCATTTGGTGCCGACAAACGGTTTGAGCTGAAGGCCACGAAGGCCTTCTTTGAAACAGAGACCACAAGACGGATGGTCCCCCAGAGGACGCCCCATCACCCATCAGGTCCCACATGCGAGCGCACGGATGGCACAGAGGAGGACAGCTCACTCACCCTGCAGGGCAGAGGCAACAGGCAAGCGTGTGCAAGAAAACCCACCCGGAAGGAGGAGGCGCGGCTGCCAGGACGGCTCCTGGCTTACCTGGTTAACGCCCTGCGAGAGTCCAGCTCGGAGGAGGTGGCAGAGGCAGTGACCGAGGACACGGGAGGCTGCAGTGCAGAGAAGCGGTTCAAACTAGTGGCACTTGGTCGTAAGGAATCTGCAAGAGGACGTGGGGGAAGAGTGACAGCAGTCTCGAGGAGGCCAGGAAACAGCCGGGCGGGCGGCCAGAAGTCCTTCCCTCTGTTGGGTCGCCAGAAGGGGGCTCTAGCAGGAGAGAGGCCACCCTTGCGCTCCGCCACCCAGAGCTCCTCTCGTCCAGCCTGCAGGCCGGGGAGGCGGCCGGCCAGATGGCCACAAGGACAGGAGACTTCAGAGCACTAAATACCCAAGGTTGGCTGGTCTGTTTCTGGATGCTGCCAAGTGCTGGCTCAGGGTGTCATCTGTGAAGCCTCGGGAGAAACAGCCCCAGCTTCACGGCCATATCACCCTTGGATGCCCATCGAGCGCTGACCCAGGGGGCTCTCGCTGCTTCCAGCCCAAGGTCAAAACTCCTCCTTCCCAGCTCGAAGCTCAGCTGTCTAGTGTCCTCTTCCCTAATCTGGGAGGTCTCCCAATGGGCCAGAGTATAACCACGATCATCCCTAGCAAAGCATGAGTATGGGACATGTAGTCTATCTCAACTGGGATCTACTGCAGGCAGAACCGTCAGATGACTGTCTTAAAAAATCATGTCTCTTCCGGCCGTGATCTTGCCCTTTGCTTGCATTCACTGTTTTTTTAATCCTGCTACTGCTCTTTCAGACATGAGGGCTTTCCAGAGGGAGAGGCGGGCAGTCAAAGAATAAGCAGCTGCCAGCTTGAGGACACCCGAACCGAGGAAGCCTGCTCCCAAACAAAAGCAACACAGGCCACTGAGAACAAGAACCCGCTGCCTAAATGCCTCAAAAATCATAACCAAGTCTCTAGCCCTCAGTGAGGTAGAAGGGTACAAATGGCACCTCATGGCATCTCCAAAGGATGCTGGAGTCCCATGTCCAGTGAGGTAGTGTCAATGACAAGACCCAGGATTCAGGAAAAGTTCACTCAGGCTGCAGGATTTTAGTGTGTCCTGATGCATCCCTTCTAGCGACTTTGGTGCAGGATTTAAAGCTTTTAAGAACACTGCCCCAGAACCGCCTCCTGCCAAGCCCTAGAGGCCACTTGCTGTCTCTGTTGATCCCCCCCCCACCCAGAGTAGAGAGCAAGAAAGTCTCTCTCTCTCTCTCTCTGCATGTGCGCCTGTCCTATGTGTGCGCGCGCTTACCCATCTCGCTGGCCTTCGCTCCGCCACTGCTCCCCTTTCCCCAGCTGCCCATCTGGGCTTTAGGCACAAGCTGGATCTTCTCGTCAATGGTGGGCTGCCGGAGAGACAGGAGGACCACCCGTCACTGGTGGGCGGCCCTTTCTTCCCTACGCCAGAGCCACCAACTCCTTGGCCCAGAGGGAGTCCCCCTCCTCCACGCCCTCCCCAGCGGCGAAGGGGCAAACAGAGGATGGAGGAGCTGCCGGGAGATGGGGCCAAGGCAGACGACCAGCCAGCTCTCGGGCAGCCTCTCCCTTAACACCCACCTTAGTGATTTTAAGGAACTTGGTGGGGTCCAGCACCCGACTGTTTTTCGCGCCCTGCACGGTGTTCCAGCCACCTTCCTCGACTCTCAGGACTCCTGCGGAACAAAGGGCCAAGGGCCACAACGACAGTGTGAGACACACGGGAAGGCTGCGTGGATGAAGATGAGGCTGCTGCTGCTGCTGCTGCTTTCCCCAACGGGCAAGTCCTGTGGGCCTTTCTTCTTGAGCTGCCTCTCTCTTTTTCCCTAGCTGTGCAATAACTGGACCCATGTGGTCCAGGCACGCTGGTCTGTGTTCTGCATATAAGGGCGCCCTTTCTCCTCTACAGGGGAAAACACGGAGGGAGGCGCTGCCACGCTGGAGCGACCAGGGCACCATCCGACACACGGGCACCCAGCTGAGCCAGCCCATGCGCAGCGCCTTCCAGCTAGAAAGAGGGCCGAAGAAAGTCGCCCGGAAGGCAATGCTTCCAAGGACCAGGGGGAGCGGGTCCCACCCCCCACCCCCGTTTCCAGCATTCTGGGAACTCACCGGAAGGCCTTCTCTTCTCTTTGGTCATCAGTTGCTGGACTTTGCGCTGCTCTTCCTGCTCTTCAATTTTTGCCTCTTTGTGTATCTGCTCGATGGTCTTGGGGCCTTGATCCGCCCTCCGCGAAACCCAGTTACACTGCAGAAGGCAAGAAAGGGAGGAGTGAGGAGGGCCCCGCTTGTGCCTGGGACCCCGTGGGGCGGCAGCCAAGGGTGCCCGTGGGCAGAGGAGCCAGGCTGCCCTACTGAGGAGAACGCAGCCCATCGGAGGACTGCGGAAGAAGGGGCACAAGGCCATCCCAGGATGCTCACAGGGATCCCACCGCCGGCAATCCTAAAGAGGCCCTTTAAATGCACCTGCCGGGGAGGAAGGGGTCATTCCAGGCCAGCCCTGAAAGAAGCACGGAGGGCAGGGGACAGGATGGCAGCACTAGCGGCGATGGGGCCTGCCTGCCTGCCTGCCTGCCGCCCCGCCCCCCAGACACGCACCTGCCTCAGATCTATGACATCCTGGAGCATGAACCGGATCCTGGAGGAGGTTTTTCTCTCTTTGACGATCTTCTCCATCTGGTTGAAATACTGGTCCATCCGAGGCTAGAGCAGACCAGAGGGAGGCTTTTGCTGTCTTTTGAAGGAACACAGGGCTCTGCCGAGTAACCTCCCCACGCGCCCCCCCCCATTCTCCCAAGCCCTGCCTTCTCTTCCTCCCCCCAAAAATAACCCTCCTAGGTGGGCTCTTTCTGTCTCGCCCACACAGACCCGCGCAGGGGTGGTGGTGGTGGTGGTGGGGGCTTTCCCGAGAGCCTTCCATCACCTTGGCTTTCTCAAAGTCCAGGTCCTTCCCGATGGTGGTCAGCAGGCGGCAGAGGCACTCCAGGGACTCCTCGTCATGGTTCTTCAGCAGTTTCACCACGCAGTCGTGCATGATGGCCTCCGTTAGCATCTTCAGCTTGAAGAGCTCCCCGATGAACTTGATGTTCCCGATGGAGCGCCGCCGCGCCTTGTCCTTGGCCTCCTCCAGCTCGTCATGGAGCCGCGTCCTCTCTTCCGGCTGACACAAAGAAGGGACAAAGGGTGCGGGTGGGAAAGAGCCCAGGAAAAGCCTCCCTTGGGGCGGAAGAGGCACCAAACACCCACAAACCCTAACCCCATCCCGCAAAAGCCTAACCTGTGTCCCCAGAACAATGGGCACCGGACCAGGGCTTTCCTTCCCGCCCAGCCCTCCTGGACATGACATGCCGGGTCTTCAGCTCCCAGAGGTGGGCAGGCGAGGCTGTCCAAAGCAGGACGGGCCCCCTCCATGGGTGGGGCTGGTCTGGGAACTCACCGTGGTGGCAGCTTCCAGTTCCTTTTGCTTCTTCTCAAAGACATCGTCATCCGCCTTGTCCTTCTCAAACTCCTTCTGGCACCGGTTCAGCAGCAGCTTCCGGAAGTTGACCGTGCTTCCAGGTTTGTCTGCCATGGGCACTTTCAGCTGCGGGCATGGCGAGCCGAAAGGCGGCACCGGGCAGAAGGAAGGAAGGCGAACATGAGAGAGAGAGGAGAGAGGGCCTTTAATCCACCCACACTCGGAGGTGGGGTTAGATCTAGGCTGATCCTTCCTCCTTGTCGAAGGAGGCTATTGGCCAACAGGACAAGGCACCTCCAGGGAGACTCCTCCCCTCCCCAACTGAGAGCCCAACCCAGAGATCCTCTCTCCTCCCCTCAAGGGCTCCGTGATTTGCACAAACCACTCTCAAGTGCCCTTAGCTTTTCAGAAGGAAAGCCCTCCTCCCCACCAAGCACAGAAACACCGGCTGACGGGGGCTAAATATGCAAACAATATCCATCTAGAACCTCCAGTTATTAAACCAAGGCAGAAAGCAGCCTTGCCCTGGCCAATCCACACAGCTGCACCCAATTCTGGTACAAAAGAAATAGTTTTGCACCACTGGCCCTGAGGAGATGGGCAGGTGAGGGGCATTCACACAGCAGCCCCCTCCGGTCTGCTGAACCACCCTCCCCTCTTGTGCTCCTGGGGTTGCGGTGGACGCCAGCAGCCACCGGCTGAAGACTACCGTCCAGGCCACTCTCTGGGGCCTTCCCTCCCGCTTTGCCCTCCACTGCTCCCTGGCCCTTTTTGGATGGAGATGCTGAGGAAGGGAAGGGAAGGGAGTCGGGCCTCCAGAAGGTCAGGCGAAAGCTCCCGCCAGGCCTCCACACACACCCCCTTCACTCCCTCCTCTTCCGCTTTCCCGCCAGCTGCCTCCCAGCCTTACCGTGACCAGACACCGGCACATGTTGGCATATGCCACGGAGAAGCTGGGCTCGTCGATGGCCTTCTCAAACACCAGGTCGATGACCCCTTTCAGCCTCTCCTCCGTGTCCACTGTCAGGTCTGTCACTTGTTTCATCAGCTGGTTGAACATCTGGGGCGTCAGTTTGTTTAAGATGCTTCGCACCTTCCGAAACAGCTCCTGGAGTCAACGGAAGGCCAAATGGAAAAGGAGGAGTGAAGTCTCAGTGTCTGCAGCTGACTGGCCGGCCGGCAGCATCCTCTCCTCTCTGGGCCAATGTCCAGGGGATCCCCTGAGACAGAGTCTGTGATCCATACTTGAACAAACAGAATCCCGAGAAGGATCCTTTGGCTTGGGGAGACTTTGGAAGGGAATGACAGCCCCGCTCACAACCCAGCTGCCTTCCAGGCATGCAGGACAACAATTCTCATCATCTTTTGGGGAGATGATTGGAGTCCTGGCTGGACAGACCCAGAGCAGACCAGGCTGAAGTAGCTGCTGCTGCTGCTGCTGCTGCTGTGGGATTCCAGATCCTGGGTCAAAGGGCTTGGGTGCAAGGGAAGCCCACCTGAGCCACTATCCCTCTAGCCCCCACCCCCACCCCGATCCCCCCCCTCACCTGGGTCTTGATGCCTTCCGAGTCCTCCACTTGCGTGTCACGCTTCAGGCTTGGTTTCCAGGCATTCTCGGCTTTTTTCAGGTGGACATCCTCTTTGACGCAAACTGTTATGATCTTCCTAGGCTCACGCCTCTGGCTGGTTTGCGGTCTCCGGGGTCCGACGTTCATAAGCTAGGATTGGGGTGGGAGGAAATTGGCCCTTAAATGTCCAGCCCGTTTCAGCACCCCACAGACGGCACGAGCACCAACCCAAAGCAAGGGACGCCAGGGGCCAACGCAGGCCACCCCCCTTCACCAAGAATGGGTTCAGCTACGGGGATGCCCTTCGCACGGGAGGTGTCGGTGGCCACAGAATGTGGCCCGCCCCCCACCGCTCACAGGGGCCAAACTCCTGCAGCATCCTTGGGAAGATCTCCCGAAACCGGACCTCAGCCCTGATCCCGTGAAGCCAGCCTGCTGCTGCTGCTGCCGGCCTCTTCACAAGAGAGCTACAGGTCGCCCTAAGCAACGAGCAGCCCCATGGGCCTTTTGCTCTGCCGAGAGAAGCAGGACATTTGCCTTCTGCCCAGAAAATCCAGGCAGCCCCTGCCCCCACCATGCTTTCTTCCTTCACATCTGGGGGGGGAGGAGCAGGGGGTTCTGGGGGATCCCCTCGCAGTCGGCAGGACCCTGTGGCTGTGGCCCTCCCCGGATGCCTTCCCAGAGACCCTGCGGACAAAGGGGACACTCTGTCCTAGGTTCACATAAACCGCCCCTGCCGATCATGACCCGAAACCCCTGGATCGCAGGAGAGCTTCCATGTCTCCTCAGCAAGAGACGGGACCAGCACTCCTCGAGTGGAAGCAGCCCAAAGGAGGAACTGGCCACTCAGGCCCGGCTTCCCTGTGGCTCCTGCTCAGCCACATCCGAGACACCAACAGGGACTGGTGTTCCTTGGACCGCCCTTGGCCGCTCGCTCTTCAGTGATTCCTTCCTTCATTCCATTTTTCTACTGCCTATTAGACCAGTGGTCACTCTGGGCGGTTCCTCCGTCTCTTTAGTATATTCCAGATAGTAAAAGGCATTTTGAAGGCAGAGGTCTGCTCTCTTGTCAGGTGGGCCACCAGGTCCCTATGTTGGTGAAAGGTCGCTCCCTCCAGAGAGACCAGCGGCCACTGCCCGCGTGGAAAGGTGTGGCCCTTCCCCAGGCAGCGAAAGGTTCCAGAACAGGACTTACCTGGGGTCCCCCTCGCCACAGGACTGCGAAGAGCAGCCGCCGCCCCAGGACGGATCCAGCTGAGGCCAAAGGTCCAGCATGCCCTCGGCTGGGGGAGGCCCACCCACCACTGAAGAGGAGTCGGTCTGGGCAGGAGTCCAGCCCAAGGCTCTGGCGCCAGGCCAGCTGGGAGCGGTTGGGCCAGGAGGAGCCGGGAGGCGCTCTGACAAAGAGACGTGCTGGGGAGGGGAAGGGAGTGGGAGGGAGGGGAGGGGAGGGGGCAGGACTCCGGCTTACCCCGATCTGGAGGCTCCTCAGTTGCGGGTGAGGCGAGACCAGCAAAGGGCATGCTGGGGGCCCACAGCGGGCGAGAGATGGGAGTCCAGGCGGAGGCTGCACTTTGCAGGCCTGGAGAAAGAGGAAGACAGGAGGTGGGAGGGGAGCGAGGGGAGGGGAGGAGAGGGGGGGTACACACGCCGTTATCTCTCAACTAAGATGCCCTGGAGGACAAGGGAAAACCCTCCATCAGCTGCCCCTGGCACTTTTAAAAAGAAGACAAATCCTGCCAGCTATCTGGGTGGACGCTGGGCCTTTGGGGCCTTTCCTAAGAACCCACCCTCCCTCCCTCTTCTCTGCCACAGACCTGGCAGGTGAGTCATCACTCTGGGCTACCCCTCCAGGGACTCTCCTGACCCTCCCGCCCATCAATGCCTTGCATGTATCACAATATGGAGACAAGAGGCCTCTGAGGAGAGTCACACACTGGGCAGGAGGAAACCCTGTCTGAGACTCAAAGGGAAACACAGTTCTTTCCACTCCAAGTATGGGGGGGAGGGGGAGAGAGGGAACCCCACACTTACGCCTGCACCCCGCCCGCCTGGGATCTGTCTTCCAAAATCAGCAAATGCCGGTGTGAAATCTGGACCCCGTGCCAATATCCGAGGGTCCAAAGTTCGAAGAGGCAGCTTGGGCTGATTGATCTGTGGGGGCAGAAAAAAACAAAATTAAGGTGGACCCCACGGCTGCACAGCAGGCAGAGGTCCTGAGCAGCTTCAACTGCAACGAAAGACAAAACACACGCAGCGGGTTATCAGCACGGGCTGCTAACATCGGCATCTGTTGTCACCCGACCTCCGTAGGGCAATGAGGGGGATATGTGCTCGCTGTGGGGTGCCCATTCAGAGAGAGGCGTCAACATCCAGGCTGCCTGGAACGGAGGTGAAATCACTGAGGGATGGAGGTGACATGAAAACAGCCAGAAAAAAAATGGGGGGGGGGCAGGTTTTGCAGGAAGAGTCTGCTTGGCTCCTGCCCCGGCAAATCTTCCTTCCTCCAGACGGGCCTCTCGTGCTTCCCTTCCCCAGGGGTTCTCTCTGCTTTTGCAGCCCTGCCTTGAAGCACAAAAATATATTCCTTTCAACAACTTCCTAGTCAAAAAGCCCCCTCCGCTTGTTCCACTATTTTAAAAAAAGTTTGCTTTGCAAACTGCCCGGCCGGTTAAGGCCCCCCCTCACGGATTTCCTTCCGCCCAGTAAAACCCGCAACATGTCCGAGTCTCTCCCTGGCCCCAAGGCGTCGGCACACCAGCCTCCCCTCACCTTGTCGAGGACCACATCACTTATAGGGGGAAGCCCCTCCGGTTTCTGGATGCAGGCAGGCATGAACTGGAAGTCCAAGAGGAAGTCCCGGTCGTATTGCTTCTTCCCTTCGGAGCCGGCGGGCTTCCACGGTTCTGCAACAGCATAAGCCACCCCCTCAGGCCCAGGGCACCCTTTCCTGCGCCAACCCCACCCTCACCGGGCTTTCCCAGGCTGGCCCACCCCCCGAGGGCTCGGGAGGCCCAGGCAGCTGCTGGCGGGACTCACCTGGTCTGCGCTGGCCGGCGGGGGCTTCGCCGGGACCCTCCGTGCCGCCCGAGTGTCCATCGCCTGCTTCTCCCTCGGAGACGCACTCTGCTCCGTTACGGATGGGCTCCTGGTCTTGCTCGCCATTTTCTTCTACCACCGTGGCTACTTTAAGGTCTGAGGGGAGGTCCCTCCTGGGACAAGTCCCTTGGCTCACGGCCTCGGGCTCGGATTCAAGTATTTGGTCGCCTTCAGGCTCCTCTTCTGCTTTAGGCTGGAGTACAAACCGACACAGAATCAACACCTCCCCTTCGCCCAAACAAACCCGTGCCCAACCCAACAGCTTCTGCCTCCCTTCAGAGAAGTGTCAGCGCGCCTTGTCCACCTAATCTCGCACCATCTTAAAGCATTCCTTTCCTCTGTGTTGAGCAAGGAGGCAAAATAGCGGGTCTCTGCCAACTCCTCCACCCCCCCACCCCCTGGAGAAAGCCAAGAAAAACCACCGGCACTCTGTGTCTGGGGGGCCTCCGTGGCCTCTCACCTCAGGCTCGGCCTCCACGCTCTCCTCGTCAGCCTGGCTCCGATCTTTTGGTTTTGTCCAAGTCTTTGGTGCAGTTACAGCTGTTTGGGCTAGAAAAGAAGGTTAGTCTGGTCACCTGCCCAAACCACAGACCTCGAGGGCGGCCTGTGAGAAATGGTTCCCTCTTTCAGTAAATGGAAGGCGGCAGAGCAGAGGGAGAAAGAGGCAGGCCATAAGAAGACCAGACGGCCTGAGGAAGGGACCTATGACTGCCTCTCTCGGGTAAGGCCACGGGCAAAGTCTAAACTCTGCAGTTCTAGGTCGGGAACGCCAGAGGGCAGCCAACCATTAACGAGAGAGAGAGAGAGAGAGAGAGAGACAGACAGACAGACAGACAGACAGACAGACCAACTCTGGGAACAGCAGGGCCAAGGGCTCCCATTGCTCTCAAGCTGTCTCTGTCAGCCACGAGGGTCAGGAAAACGGCCTGGCTCCAAGGCTGGGCAACAGAGCGCCTGACCAGGGACCGTCCAAGAAAGAAGCCATGGGTATCGGGAGGCTGAGGCCGTGGGACCCGGACAGAGCAAGGCGACCGCCACGGCTGGAGTGGGGTGGCAGTGGCTGGGTCCCAGGAGAGAAGTCCCAACCAAGAAGCCCAGCCCCCTCCCCCCGGGGCGTCTTCTGTCCCCCCCAGCCGCCAAAGGGATGCTCCAGGCCCGACGAAGGGGCCAGGCAGGGACAGAAGCTTCTCGGGGTGGGGCGGAGGGGTTGTCTCTGGGGCTTCCTTATTGATGATGACGTAGCAGGTGGTGTAAATACCAGGCCCACCAAGCAGCACGCCCTGCTTCTCTGACACAACGCACTGATGAACCTGGGGTGGGGTGGGGTGGGGTGTTGGCAGAAGATCCCACCATCCCTTCCCCCTCTCTGATCCATCAGAGACTAAAAGGGTCAATCACAGGAGGAAGAGGAAGCCCCCAAAGAGAGAGAGAGAGAGAGAGAGACACGGCAGGCGGGGGGGGGGGGGGGGGGCTTGACCACAAACAAGCTTCCCTAATCAGCATTTGCACCGAGAAAGGAAAGAGGGAAAAGGGAAAACAGGAGCTGTCGCAGAAATGCCTTTTGGCCTTTCCACCGGCTGGAACCCTGCTGAGTAGCTCTGGGACCAACATCCATCAGCCACAGAGTGCTGGTGTTCAGAGGGGCTGGGGAGAGTCCACTGTCAGCCCCGCCCCGCAGGGTGGGAAGCAGGACAACAAGCGCCTTCCTTTGTGCCGGTTTTAGGAAGGAGTCCTGACCGGAGGTGGATGTCCTGGAGGTTCTCTGGGAAAGGCCTCCTACTGTGGGG